TAAAAATATATTCTACATCTTTTGGATTGGATTGATGCTTCTTTAGAGCATCGAACAGTTATGGCATAATACATGCCCGAGCATGAGATTTTTTTGTGAATGTTGAGTCTGGGAGAAGATTTATGCATCTTTACACTTTATTGTGGAAAGGTTGTTTTTTCTATATGTCAATGTGGAAGATAACTATTACTCCATGCCCACCCTTTTCGGTTAACAAATAGAAACCTATAGTGTTGCAATTTGGATGTCATTGTTATAATACTTGAGAATTTTTTATCTTACATGTTAAATTAAGTTTTTTAATCATGCAGACATTTTCATATTTGACAGGCGATTTCTGTAATGGCTAAGTCTGGTTTTGCTGAGCTAATTGATTTTAATCCCATCCGTGCAAATGATGTGCAATTACCAGCAGGTGGTACTTTTATCATTGCACATTCGCTTGCAGAATCCCAGAAAGCAGTAACTGCTGCAACAAACTACAATAACCGTGTTGTTGAATGCCGCCTGGCAGCTGTAAGCTATGTTTCTTTTGTCTGCTTATGAGTACATGGCTATGCTTAAGGGTTTATTTGGGATGGGTTTCTTTCTGCTTCTTAAAGCAGCTTTTTAGTACAAAATAAAAAAAAATTGTACTAAAAAGTTGCTTTAAAAGCAGAAAGAAAGCCGTCCTAAACGAAGCCTAATTCATGAGTTATAATATCATATTGTATCTCCATTCTGATTGCATCAGGCAGAATTTACTGTATTTTAGTTTGATTGATTTAAAACCTTCTGTCCTTTTTTTGGAGTAAATCCTGCAAGAAAGTAATACTTGAACCGAGAAGCATATTTTATACTCCTCGATTTTGTATTTCTCCTGAACATGCTTGTACATGTTTGCATTTGATACGAGTACATTGCTGATCAAGGCCTTGTAGGATTTCTTGCCTTCTGAAGCGAGGTTAAGCGTCTGATTCTCTTTTGTTTGGCTACTACTAAATAATATCCTTAAGAATTTTTACTTGAAAAAATAAATGTACAGCACACACATGCCTAGAGACCTCAGGTCCTCAACCAATCATCCCCTTGGTCTTTTCCACATTCCTCTTCTACTTTTCCTTTTTCCATTGAAATTTTGTAGCTCTATGAATGGGTTCGAGTATTTTGTGCACACACTCTTTTGAAGTCCCTACCGTTCATTCTCTGGTCAAAAGTTTGAATTCAATGAATTTTGTTTATTACTGCCGTTTCATGGACTCACAGAAAGCATACTCGTATATTACTATTGGTTAGATTTAATAATTGTGGAAGACTAACATCATCAAAGAAAAATCTGCAGATTGTTCTTGCTATAAAGCTTGGAAAAAATCCAAA